ACACTGCAATCCGTTGCTTTCTCCGACCAAACCTCGATATTACTGACAAGCCTGATCTTGAAGCAGCTGTTTCATCCATTGTACCAGCTCCTACTCTTGTCTACTCCTCTGATCTTGAACTTGCAGGTGCTGAAGCAGAGTGTGCTATTTGCTTGTCGGAATTCGAACAAGGTGAGAGTATACAAGTGCTGGAGAAATGTCATCATGGGTTCCATGTTAACTGCATCCATAAGTGGCTCTCTTCTCGCTCCTCTTGTCCAACTTGCAGGACTTCTATCTTCTCACAACAACGTATCTTAAACTCTTCACCATCAACGGAAACTTCTTCAAGCCAGATCAATGCTTCTTAATTAGCCAGATCATATTCTTCTTCATTCCAAAGCTTAAACTTGTATCATGTTTTTGCTTCTGAGATTACCTTGTTTGCTGCTATGTATTAGTAGTTACTACTATAAAAACACAGAGAAACAAAGTATTACTTACCAGTTATATTACTTGTATGAATCAAAATTCTACATCACCCACACAAAGAAAAAAGAGTTGTGAGTTGTAACCAATGCAAAAATAGCAAGAAACACACAAGAATCAAAGGTTTTGCAACATACCCAAATGCATGAAACGAGCTCTTTAACTGATGATTGATAAGATTAAAAGAACAGCATTTGTAACTGAGGATTTCAGTTTCTGAAACTGGTAGAGTAATTTTGAGATTACTCTGTTTGCTGTTATGTACAAAAACAGAGACAACGAAAGTATTACTTATTACTTGTATGAATCAAATGAAAAATAGCAAGAAAACACAAGAATTAAAGTTCACGAGCAGAGTAATAACTGATTCAATGGTTTTCAGTAAGAATCAAGAACCATAGCTTGATTAAACAATGTATGTGAAGGATACAAGGTAATAAATGATGTACCTACTTGATACATCCACTAACAATCTCTGCACCAAACTCTCTACCAAAGAGAGATTCTCAAAACCTAATTCCCCAAATCAAAGCAAGTTTTCAATTTTAGAGCTCATTCGGAACTAAACTCACTAGGCCGATTACTAGGCCCATAATTGCTTAAGCCAAGCCTTTTTTAACCCTGTTATCCTCCCTCGCCGGCTATAAATAGACGCCAAAAATCCCACTCACTCCACTATTACTACACCGTTTCCAAAAGAGAGAGAAAATGAAGCTTTGTTTTTTAAAATGAGTCAGATAAGGCCGTACTCCACCACGAAACCAGGAAGCTCAGGCGGAAACAGCGCTCCACCACCAATACGTACGTCTTCTTCTCTCACACTTTTAGCTCATNNAAATCGANTCTTTTTTTNNTTACTTTTGGTGAAGTAGTTCTCTTAAGTTTTGATCTNTNNTGTTAAANTTTGTATTTTTATGGTGTTAGNGAGGAACCCATTCCATAAAAATNNAATCTTTNTTTACTTTTGGTGAAGTAGTTCTCTTAAGTTTTGATCTCTGGTGTTAAAGTTTGTATTTTTATGGTGTTAGTGAGGAACCCATTCCATAAAAATCAAATCTTTGTTTACTCTTGGTGAAGTCTTTCTCTTACGATCGATCTCTCTGATGTTAAAGTTTGCTTTTTTATTTATTTTATGGTGTCAGCGAGTAACCGCTTCCAGAAAAGTGGAAGGGATACGAGGTGATTGATACGAAGAAAGCTTGCGTTTATAGGGTAGACTTGCCCGGTTGTCATGGATCGGATCTCTCTTACTCGGTCGACTCCACCAACGTCCACTTCTTCGCCGACGAACTAGCCAAGCCTGAATACAACTACTCCGGTCGCAAATACGGTGGAACTATGCACTCAACCCAAAGACCTACGATGTCAAGGAAGCAAAGGTTAAGCTTGTCAATGGAGTGCTCTGGATCACTGTTCCTAAGATCCCTGGTACAAACGCTACCATTGATACCACTGAGAAGATGTTTTACTGTAAGCTAACAAGAGAAGACTTGTTCGGTTGACGAGTCTTCTGTCTCGTATCTTGCCTCATCGTAATGGTGATCTAGGGTTTAAATAAGGTCTATATGACTGGTGTTTTTGAGTCCTCCTCCTGTCCTCTAATGGTGTCTAGGGTTTTAATTATTGTTTTTATTTTCTTTTTTAAAAATGAATGGATCTCTAATCTATCTATGTCGTCATCGACTTTCATGCGCAGATAGCTCTGGTTTTTGTTTATCTTTTATATGGTTGTGTGTGATGGGTTTAGTTTCTATCTTTATCAGATCTGATTAATGAATAGTTTCCATCAAATCGTTTTTTTTTTTTTTTGTCAATAACGTTTCTCTAAGCAATATTTAATGGAAGCTAGATCATATACATACTTTCTATAATTGTACACTGAAAAACCTGATTAGTGAAAAAACAATCTTTGAGCAAATATTAATGGAAAGGAACAAGCTTTATGGTTTATTGTACACTGAAAAACCTAGAATTAATGAGAAATAAAGTTTGAGAAAGCTGGATAAAACGAGTGTTGAAAACTTGTAATCCACTTTTTGTCGTATGCGAAAATAAAGTGAGAAGAAAATTGACACGGCTGACGTCATTGTCTTCTTCCACTAATTTGTTTTTTGAAAAATTAAT